CCGGCTGCAACTCTATTAATAAACCGTTTATTATTATTATTATTATTATTATTATTACTATTATTATTATTATTATTATTATTATTATTATTATTACACACACACACACACACACACACACACACACACGTAGATAGTGGGTCTGGTGTGTTCTAATGGGTTCTTCATTTAACTGGGAAAAGGTTAGGTCTTCTACACCTTCAAGTTCAGTATTTTTAGCAATGTGAATGAACTTTAGTTTGTGTATATTAGTTTTAATTTTCCACTTGTTTTCGTAGTTGTTTATTTCTTCGATGGCGCGGGCTGTTTTACATGCCATCATCTGTTTGACCTTGCCTGGATGTCGGATGATTTAACTGACGTCATCGGCGTTAGTAGGTGGGTAGGAGGCGACATGTCAGACGTGTAAAGTGTAATGTACAGGTGAGAGGTTACTTCCCTCCGCTCTATAGCTTGGTTCTTGGGCCTATGTGGTTGCCAGAGGAGGAATTGAAGACAAGGAGAACGGAGGAGCAGAGAACATAAGCTGAGGAAGAGAGAGACACCTCATTATAATAGAGTCACTGAATTGTTTAAAGAGTTAGTGCTTGAGTACGGGTTCTCCTCTAAGATGGTGTAATCCAAATACAATTAAAAGTGACGTCGCCGTAGTGAAGGGATTAGTCGAGACAGTCTACAACTGAATTATCTTACCTGTTTTGTTCTGTACATCTGGGGTTCCATAAACACAGAACCACACAAGTCCTTGTAGGTGCCTGTGTATTTAGGTTTTCGGGAATTACAGGGAGGTACAGGTACAGTAAAATACAGGTTCACTGAGATACAGTAAATATACACGCCCCGAATGTTCAAATTTTGGTATGTTAATTTCTGCTCTTCTAACTGCGTCGAAAGTTGATAGCTAAAATAGCGTCAAAATTCAACTAAGAGATTATTACAACTGCAAAATCAGAAAGTTCACTTTTTAAGTTTTCTTTTACACAGTAAAAATGCGACTCTCTTTCACTCTCTGGAACGGTTTCTCTCTCATTAACTATTTCTATCACTTACTATTCTATCTGCCTTTCACTTTCTCTTTCCTTCTATCGCCCGCTTTCTGTTTTCAACTGACTCACTGCTTCACTCTATTTCACTCTCTTTCTGTATTTATATATACACCCCCTATTTATATATATATATATATATATATATATATATATATATATATATATATATATATATATGTATATATATATATATATACAGTATATATATATATATATATATATATATATATATATATATATATATATATATATATATATATAACTACAAGGAAAAGAAGTCCAGTCTGTACTCACCCTGAAGATGTGAATTACGGCGCTTGGGAACTTCATGTTTCTTCTTTCCTTGTATATATATATATATATATATATATATATATATATATATATATATATATATATATATATATTATATAAATAGGGTGTTATATATAAATACAGAAAGAGGTGAAATAGAGTGAAGCAGTGGTCAGTTGAAAACAAACGGAGAAAGTGAAAAGGAATAGAATAGTAAGTGATAGAAATAGTTAATGAGAGAAACCGTTCCAGAGAGTGAAAGAGAGTCGCATTTTTACTGTGAAAAGTCTGTACTCACCCTGAAGATGTGAATTACACAGCCTTGGGAACTTCGTGTTTTTTTTTTCCTTGTGGTTTATCAGCATATATATATATATATATATATATATATATATATATATATATATATATATATATATATATATATATATATATATATATATATATATATATATATATATATATATATATATATATATGTATATATACAGTATATATATATATTTTTTTTTTTACGGGATTAGCCCACTAGGGCACAGGTCAATGACCCACATTAAGACCTCGGGGCTAAAAAAAAAAAAAAATGTATTGATGATGATGATGATGTTGATGATGATGATGATGATGATAATATTATTATTATTATTATTATTATTCAAAATAATAATTAATACAAATTTATAGAAACTTGAAACAAAAAATTAAATACAATTAATAATAATAATAATAATAATAATAATAATAATAATAATAATAATAATAATAATAATAATAATAATAATAATAATAGATAATAATAATAGTCATAAATAAAAAAAAATCAATATCAACGATATAGTTTATGTATGTTGTGTTGTCAAGGTAAGAGAAACAATTGAGACCCTTTAATTGTGTGTAAATGAGGCAGAAAGTCAGATTAGCAACCTGGGACATGGTCAACAAATCTCTTTGTGAGTCATATATGTGCAGGTCTAACATTAGACAACAACACATTATGCTTCTCCAATATCTTCCTAAAGTAGTAATTCTCCTTGTTTGATATTAGCTGCCTACTACTCTACTACCTCTACTGTATTCTCTCTCTCTCTCTCTCACACACACAATAGAGTTGATTCATGATGTAAAGCCCTTGTTAATACCTCGTCTCATTAAGCCGCAAGCCCCACCCTCCCAGCTTTGGGAGTAAGTGCTTCGTTCCGCACCAGCCAATTGAAAACCGAAATGCTGTGCAATGCAAGTTAAGCTGTTGGTGATGGTGCTGTTGGTGGTGTTGTTGGTGATTCTCTTGTTGGTGTTAATATTGGTGGTGTTAATTTTGTTGGTACTAGTGGTGTTATATTTTATTTTTATTTTTGTTGATGCTGTTATTGTTGGTGATATTATTATTGCTGTTCGTATTTTTTTTATCGCTGGTGTTGGTAGTGGTGGGGATATTTGTTGTTGGTGGTGTTATTGTTGTTGTTGTCGGTATTAGTGATGGTTTTGTTATTATTGTTGTTGTTGTTCATGTTGTGCTGCTAATTGTCGTCGTTGTGAATTTTGGTGATGTAGTTTTTATTATCAATTTTTGTTGTGAAAATGATGATGTTGATGGTGGAGGTGGTGGCAGAGAAGATGGTGCTATTGTATTGTTGTTGTTGGTATTACAGGTGTTATTGTTTGAAAGACAAGAGAGATACTCAGGTGAATTAACAGAAGCAGTGTAGAGATGTATATCCTTGGGTCACGTTGCACTACCCTGGCTGGGGCTTTGATCAGAACTCACCTCCTTCCTTACCTACATTATTTTTTTTTTTATTTAGGATTTCTGGCCACTTCTCCTTTCGGCTATTTTGGCCAGAGCTGTTTGGGTCTTCTTAAACGCGGTCTTATACTCGGACTTATACACGGTCTTCTTATGTCGGTCTTAATATCTAGGTCTTACCATTCGGGCCGCGAGGTCACCTTTAGCCCGACCCGAATGTCTGTCTGCTGTCAGCCAAGCTGACTCGTTTCTCAGTATTGAGTAGTGACGGCGACCTGATTGGGTCACCGTCAAACTCCGTTTGTCAGCAATGCTGACTCATATCTCGCTATGAATCTGGAGGGCCAACATTTATCGGTTCTGACTAAGAGCTCCGAGGGCGACTTCCGACCTCAGAGCTCCAATCTAGACTCGTGACCTCCTTTCACTGCCCTCAGACTATTTAAGGTAAGACCGAGGTGAGAGTCGGCCGACAGTTCGCTGCTAGTGCGCTCGCACAAGTTGAATTCTGCAAACACAAGCTAGTTGGTCAACTATTCCACTGCTCACAAGTTGTAGCATGTCAGAATCCTTTCAGCTGCCCAACTGTTAAATTGCATGCGCGAGCACTGATCTGACTTTCTGCCTCATTTACACATAATTGCAGGGTCTGAATTGTTTCTTTCACTTTTGACAACACAACATATATGTATCATCTTTTTTCACTCTTGATTTATATTTTATTTACTTTTATTTATTTATGGTTACTATTATATATATATATATATATATATATATATATATACACGAGTAAATCTCCTTTTGGTGGAATAACTTGAGTGAACAATGATCTTTTACCTGCAGGTTATGGGAGCAGTGATGGCAGGTTTGACCCACGTCGTCATCGGAACTATGGTGGGCCTGCCGGGTGTCATCCTTCCCCAGATGACTGACCCCGAATCACCTGACCTCTACTTAGATATTAAACAGGTTGCGTTGTTCGGTAAGTCTCGTGACGTCCAGTACTCAACTTTATTAATGATCTCTACATTAACCTACATAGTGAACCATATTCATCTGGCGAGTTAATTTGGTTATATTGAGCAATGGTGTCTAGGTACAGTCTCACCCAAAAGTTCGTTAACTCTCCCAGCCAGCTATTGCTGCACTGCCTGCTTCAGATGTTTGAAACTGTCTCCGTACCAACCAGAACGTGAAACCGATACAAATGAATCTAAAGGTTAGTAATAGACTCAAGTTCATACATCTGAAGCAGGCAGTGCAGCAGCAAGCAACTGAAAGAATAATTGGCTTTAACTAATTTTGTGGTCAAAATGGTGTTCGTTGAAACTTTCCAAAATACCAACAAGCTAGCACTAATTAGTTCCCCTGACCTGACCTCCTTGATACGTACAAGTATAGGTCATCCATAATCACCATGGCCTCCACGAGACAGCTTAACCAGTGGTCAATAACTTCAACACGATTCAGCTTAAAGAATGTGTGAACTTTCTTGTTAGCATAAACACATCCAACTGCTAAGAATAATTTTAATGTCCCACACCTTAAAAATATTCCCTTTTCTTGTACCCTTTTTACAATTTACTAGATAGGCCGCGATGTCATATTAAATTACAGAACACTTGAATAAAAGCTGTACATGTCCTATGTTGTTATTAATTTTGTTCTCCCGTTAACATTAAAAAGTTCAACTCCAGGATCACAATTTATTGGTATTGCTACTTTTCATAGAATGGATAAACACTATCATATTATTATTGGAAAACAAAATCCATTAAAGTACACCATAAACTCTTCCTACCTGGGCCCCAGGTATGACGTTATAGGAGGTACTAGTGAATAATAACATTAAGTTCACAATTGCTTCATGAGACAGCATAAATTTGCTTCAGAATCCTGTATAGATAAAGTTTGAATCCACAATTTATATAACAAATCGATATGGGATTTGATATAGTTCAAAATAAAACTAAAACTAATGAAAGTTATTCAATCCTAACTTTAGGATCAGTGACTGGTAATCTCATTTCCATTCCCTCCCTCGAGTGACGTCATCTTCCACCTAAGCAACGGCAAGTCAATCCCTGCAAAAGTTTATATATTTTGACTAGAATTTGTTAAATAACTCCCTGTTCATTAATACGATAAAGAACTAATAATTCTGGGGATCAGTTACGAAAGTATTTCTCATCTGGAGTTGTCCTTTAATATACTTACGGAGAACCGAGAGGAAATTGGGCATATGCATGAAGCAAGAATAACCTACACATAGATATTGAAGAAAAAATAACAACCTTATGTCTTTACAGGAAGTGTGGTCCACATTGGCGCAGCAGTTGGTTCTATAGGAGGCGGAGTAGTCAGTATGCATCTTGGTCAGAGAGTGTCACTTCTCGTGGCCATGCCTTTCTCTTTGGTGATGTGTCTGGCCTTGTCTTTCACACCCAAAGTGTGGTTACTCCTGTTGCTCCGCACTGCGCAAGGACTCACCCAAGGTGTTATCGCTGCCGCCTCCAGCAACTACGTAGCGGAGGTGTCAGAAAGTCATCTACGTGGACGGCTGATTGGGTTCACGGTCGTTGGGTGGAAATCTGGGTTCCTGCTGGTGTATATAATAGGGAGCCTGGACATGTCGTGGCGGCACATAATACTCGTGTGCGGCTGCGTCACCGCCATCCCGCCCTTCATTGGGTTGTTCTTCCTGCCGAACTCCCCACGATGGCTGGTTACCCGAGGCCGCCTGGAGGAAGCCCGCAAGGCCCTCGTGTTTTTTCGAGGTCCTCGCTATGACTCACAGCCGGAGTTCGACGACATCGTCCACCAATTTAATGAAACCACCAGCAACAACACCAGCTTTGTATCCCAGCTCCGTCAGACGCGGGAACAGTCTGTGCTTCGTCGGTTGCTGTTCTTGATCTTCCTTTTGGTTTTGGTACAGTTTACCGGCATGGTGAGCATACTCACGTACGTTGTGCCCATCTTCCAAGCATCCAACTCTAGAATAAACTCTTATACAAGTGCAATATTTGTTGGCAGCATTCAAGTCGCAGGAACAATTGTGTGCTTGTTAGTGGTGGACCGCCTGGGACGCAAGTACACGATCATTGTACCTAGTGTCATCTGCTCCATGTCAATGATGACCCTCGGGGTGTACTTCTACCTGCTGAACCAAGGGGTGGACGTGAGCAACATTGGCTGGTTACCGCTGGCTGCAATAATGATCTTCACTGCTTTGTTTTCTGCAGTGGATTTGTCGGTGAGCCTTTTGAGAGCAGAGTTACTACCCAACTCGCTAAGGGCATTTGCCACATCAATACTGTACATATTCTTATATGCGAGCTTGTTCGTAGTCATCCAGACCTTCCCGCTTATGGTTAAGACCTTCGGGGAAGATGGGGTGTTCTGGATTTACAGCGTCTGCAGCTTGTTGCTTGTCCTAGGGGTTGCAATATTTCTGCAGGAAACTCGGGGTCTCTCCCTTGAGGAGATTGACAACCTTTTCAGGCACGGCAGAAAACACCTTATGCAACAAAACGATCTGAATTTACCTTCTCAAAACATTCCCTGATTGTTGAAATGACCTCCAGTGTCATCTGCTAGTTCATATTGTTGTGTTCCCACTGTGCAGATTTGAAGATTGAAGATTCAAGCCAGACTCGCACAACAATGATGAGCGGTGAGAATTGTAACATACAGTGACCAGTACTCCGAAAGATCACCCCATCTCGCCCAGCCCCGCCTCGACCCACCTACCCCGACACTGCCCTCTATGTTGGTCGGTTAGTTGCGGTGGGGGCGGGTAAACCAGTTGTTGTTCCTAGTTGGTTCCCCTTTAGCAAGCAATAGAACTTCCTGACTGGAGAGGGGAGGAGGTGGGGGGGGGGGAGTGGAAGCACGAGGGCAGGCTGAGCACCACGACTTTTCAGTAATGCAAGAAATGTAAAGGAAAGGGTTATGCGGAAATGAAGTGCCAGATGTAAAAACCCAAGATCCACCGGGAACTCGTGTCCCAGAGGAAAATAATGATACTGAGAACAGTTTTACTGAGTCTTCTGTGGACACTGTCAGTGAAGATCAGCAAACACAAACAGAAAATGGTGGTGATGTTGATTTGATAAAAGTGTGTCGATGTCTTCCACTGAAATACTCGTATAACTGGTTTTCAGTACATGTTCCAGAATGTTAAAAATAAGTTAAACAATCTCCTGCCTGCAAAAGAGACAGGCAACATGGAAAAAAGTCTCGTATGGTGACTTAAGCTTCTTTCTAAATATAGTACATAATGGTAAGTGTTAATACCATAGAAATACAGAAAACGATACCCTGACCACTACAAAGTTGTGATTGAGGACATCGATATTGTCTTTCTGGAGGAGTGTCTCACACCCAGTCTACCCAATTATGTGTATTATGATCCTAGTTTTACTTAAACATGTCTAATGTATGTAAAGAAATTGCTACCACATGTACAGTAGATAAAACAAATATATGTGCATACTTTGCGGGAAACAATATGAGACCGTGGACGGTAAATTTTGGTATATGAGGGCTGTCATTAGTCACAAGTAAAATTTCGGAGCATATCGACCCCCACCTGCACAGATAGTTGTTTTAACTACTGTATCTATTAGATCAAAATAGACTACCAACTTCCAGTATTATTGGATCACAAACGATCTCGGCAAAGCCACACTAAACACAATAAATTAACTCTGATGTAGTCACTGATCTTATATCTGATCTCAAAACTATCCAAGCAATTATACTTGTAGCCAATGCCACCCCTACTGGTGGAAAGCTTAACAGACGTGGATTCAGTCAAGCGAGAATACGAAAACCAGTTCATATACTACATCTATAACTGGTACAGTTGCGGAAATGTGTTCCTACGGGGTGTAACCCGTGTCTCCAAACGGCAACGTTGAAATAGTAGTATCACTGTTTATGAATGAATGGTTATTGGTCGTGTGACGACAGACGTGATTGGTGGATAGATTTGCTATAGGTCATATACTTTGGGCGTTTGGAGAAACGCGTTACAACAGGGGTGTAGAAACACATTTCTGCAACTGTACAAATATTACAAGCCTGGCATTTATCAAAGTCTCCATGACGATTTTGTAGCTAGGACTTACACATTCTTTCCCAGCAATGCCTCCACCAAAAAAAGAGGAGGAAACCTATGAGAGGATAGTTCTTGGCAGACTCTTATACAGAACCAGAGAACACATTCCCCTCACATAAATAGCTTCACCCATGCTAAAAGTATACGTAATTGCACTCCCACATTCCTAACTGTGCATGGGGATGAAGGCCACAGATACACCACATTTTTCGATTTAAAGGCTGCATTTGACATTGCCAATAGGCAACTTATATTGTACGAACTAGCCAAAATGGATATAGGAGGTCCGCTGTTGCACTGGATAAGTGATTACCTCACGAACAGAAGAGCTGCTGTATTGTTTCAGGGTTAAAAAAGTGAAGTAAAAAAATATGCAACTTGGCACCCCCAAGGTACTTAGACCCACTTTGTTCAATGTTCTTATGAATGCATTATTAAAGTCAATTCCAGACAGCCTCAACAATATTACGGTTAGCTATGCAGATCACATTCTTATACTGTACATAATAAAACAAACAATGAAATGCAAACCACCCTGACCATGTCCAGTCAGGCTGTAAGAACCTTGGTCTCATCATCTCCACTGAGAAAACTAAAATCTTCAACAAACAAGCTGGTAACCGCAAACACCGACCATCAAAGCTTAAGATGGGTATAAACACCATTGACTCTCTCTCTTCTTTTAAACAACTCTGTGTCTATCCCCTGTACCTCACCTGCCATACATCTAACCCGCCAGTGTACCGGTCGATTAAAACCCCTTATATATATATATATATATATATATATATATATATATATATATATATATATATATATATATATATATATATATATATATATATATATATATATATATATATATATATATATATATATATATAACATGGAAAACTGTCTTTTGTTAAGTATTGTTGACCTCTGACCCAGCTTGGAGAAGGTCGTGCTGATAGTGCTCCCGCTAGAGACCAAGGAAAATGGCCGCTTTGGATCGTTGTGCCGTGGGGGAAGAGGAGGGGAGTGTGGGGAAGGACGACCTCCTTGCCACGCTGTTAAGGCAGCTGGGGCAGTTGAGGAGTGAGGTTGACACTCTAAAGGGGGAAAATGAAGCCCTCAGGACGGAACTCCTTCAGGTAGGTGTCCTGCCTAGCAGGACACCTGCGAAGGAGGAGCAGGCGTGGAGAGTGGTTGTCTCCAAGGGGACTAGGGTCAGGCTTAGGAAAGCTGACCAGGGTGTGGAGTGCAGTAACCCTTACCAGGTGCTGCAGGAAGCTGGAGAGGAAGAGAAGAGGCAGGACGGTATGGATCAAGGAGAGGAAAGGGCAGTTGTACAAACCCTGCCCACAGGTAAGGTCGTGGTAGTTGGTGACAGCCAGGTGAGGTTTATGGATAGGGCTTTTTGTGCGAGAGATAGGAAACGTAGGACTAGGGTATGTTTTCCTGGGGCTGGGATAGGGCATGTAGCCGAGAGGTTAGACAGAGTTTTGTCAGGGGAGGGTACCAATCCAGTAGTGTGTCTTAGTGTGGGAGGAAACGACATAGGTAAGGTTAGGAGTGAGGAACTTTTCAAGAGGTATAGGGAGGCGCTGGGGAAGATTAGAGATAGGGGAGGGATCCCGATAGTATGTGGTGTCTTGCCTAGAAGAGGGGTTGGTCGTGAATGGCTGTCCAGGGCAATTGCTATTAATTGCCGACTGGAGAAACATTGTGCAAACAATGGTTGGGCATTCATTGATGACTGGCAACGATTTTATGGCAACGACTACCTGTACTGTCGCGACGGAGTACACTTGTCTCGTGAGGGGGTAAAGACGTTGTCTGCATCCCTGGAGCGTGAAATTGTCACTCCGAAGGGGGGGTTTCGCCAGTAGAGAGGGGTCGGGGAAAATGGGAGTCAAAAAACAAGGAGGTCCTGGGAAGTAGTGAAACAGAAGTAGATAATGCTGAAAATATAGTTAGTCATAATAACAAACATCAAAGTAATAAATGTAAAACAGATAGAAACGGAAGAAATATATTGAGTGTTTATTATACTAATAGTAGAAGCCTGTGTAACAAAATGGACCAGCTCAGGGCCATTGTTAGTAAAGAGAACATAGATATAATTGCAATAACGGAAACATGGATAAATTCAAACAGCAAGCATTTTTTAGCAGAATTTCATATTCCAGGATATAACCTATTTAAATTTGACAGAGTAGGAAGGAGAGGTGGCGGTGTAGCAGTGTATATCAGGGTGTCATTAAAAAGCTGCAATAAATCAAACATTAAAACAAATAGCGACAATGAAAGTATTTGGGTAGAGATTGGTGAGGGCAGTGAATCCGTAGTCATTGGTGTTATATATAGACCACCTAATTTGAGTAGGAACGATGGTAAATTGCTATGGGAGGAAATAAAGAAGGCATCTGATAGAAACAATGTATGTATTCTAGGCGATTTCAACTTTTCAGGCATAGATTGGAAAAATCAACTTAGCGATAATGAATCTGAAGATTTTCTAGAAGTAGTACAAGATAGTTTTTTATATCAATTCATAAACTCGCCCACTAGAGGAAATAATATCCTCGATTTAGTTCTCAGTAATAATGAAAATCTAGTAAAAGATGTTGGGATTGGAGACGAACTAGGAAACAGTGATCATAAAGCCATATATTTTAACATAATATGGGATGGCAGGAAGAAGGAAAATTCGGCCTTGATCCCGGATTTTAGGAAGGCTAATTACGGTAGCTTAAGGAGAGACCTAAGGGATGACCCTATGGTCAAAAGATTAATCCCCCCCACACCTCCGGAAACTGTCAACTTAGGACGGGATAACCCCGAATTTAATTTAGCAGCTACTTATGAACAATTTATTGCGACAATCAATAATGCTCAAAATAAACACATCCCTAAAAGAAAATTCAGATCGATACGGAACCAACCAAAATGGATGAATAATAGACTCTTAGATCTTCTAGGGAAAAAGAAAGGAGTATATAGAAAAGTTAAGAAAGGCGAAAATCACTTACTTGGTTACTATCAGAACCTAACAAGACAGGTAAAAACAGAAATTAGGAAAGCAAAGAGAAATTATGAAATCAAGGTAGCAAACGAATCGAAATATACCCCCAAAGCTTTTTATCAACTGTATAAATCAAAGGTTAGAGATACAATAGGTTCCCTTAAAACTACGACAGGAGAAATGACTGATGATAGAAATGTGTAGTACGTTAAATAGTCATTTCGCTCCGTATTCTAAATGAAAACCCTAGCTGGTTCCAGAAGTTCGCCAAAAGGTATATAACGACGGTATAAATATGTTGATGAATATCAATATTACTAATGTTTTGATATTGCTTAAGTAATTAACAAACTGAAGCCTCATAAAATCGCCTGGTCAGACAGGGTATATGCTAGAAATATTAAAGATATGAAGATGAGTTGAGTAATCCATTAGCAGTTTTATTTAATAAGTCATTAGAATCGGGCCTAGTGCCAGAAACTTGGAAACTTGCAAATGTAGTTCCGATTTTCAAAAAAGGTGATAAATCAATTGCATCAAATTACCGTCCCATTAGTCTCACGTTAATCATAGGCAAGTTGCTAGAGTCAATTATTGCTACGAAAATCAGAAGCCACCTTGAAACATTCAACTTAATTCATTCTTCTCAGCACAGGTTCACCCAGGGACATTCTTGTCTCACAAATTTGCTTAGCTTTTTCTCAGAAGTATATGAAGC